CAATAAATATAACTAACCTGTTTTGATATATCTTCAACAACCTTAACCTTACGTTAGGATAAAACATTTTCACACAGCAATTACATTCCAAGCTTAGAGGAGTTCTTTGGAATTCTTTGGAATTCTTGTTTATCATATATTTTAATGCACATGCATTTAATCCTCAAATGGATGGGGAATGGGAGACAGCCAAACGAGTATACAAAATATTCTTAAGTCTTTCATTTGACCTTTCACATGCCTTCATTTGCATTCCGGGGTGCGTGTGACGAGATCTAACCTAACCTAACCCAGCAATCGTTAAGGTTTCCGAAATAACATTCGATGGAGAAAATTACTCGACGAAACTAAATTCTCTCTGATGATTTTTAACATCTCTGTGGAGTAAAGATAATTTACTCGTTTTTTTTTTTCATTGATGGAATGTAACACAGCATTGTGATTTAAAGACAACCAGACTTCATCAGATTACATCTTTAATCACTATGCTTTGTAAGTCCTTTCCATCCAGTTGTTGTCAGACATGGCGTGAGAACACATTTGGAAAACGCGCATGCCTTTATATATAAATATTTAAAGAAAAATTATCCTTACCTTTGAACTTATCACAGTTCCTCTTGGCACCAGCGCCCACACATCTAGTCTGGGTTCTAAACGCGGCAAAACAAGGGCGTCGAGTTTCGGCAAGCCCTGGACACCGGCAGCAGGTGCCCGACGGTGTTATGTGTTCGCCTGCAGAAGCTTTTGCCACCTGGCTTCCTAGTTTCTGACCATTCTTCGGATTCGTTTGTAGATGTATACGTCGATTTGAGGTTTAACACTCTTATCTAGCAGTGTTGGTTTTTACATTTGTGTGAGTGAACGAGGTTATGGAGGGCACAGAACTTGGGAGACTGTATGTGTAAGTAGTTGGGGGCGTAGAGATGGTGAAATGAAAGGGGTCTTAGCTTGAGGGTTTATTGGGGGAGGTAAAGGTGTGATCCCATGAGAGACCTGTGCCCCGGGTGCCGAGGGCGGAGCGGCGTATGCCATGTCTCCGTCTGCT